GGATCGGAAAAAAATATCGTCGTTCTCAGAAAACGAAGCTTTTTCAGATTATGTATAATCGTAAAAAAATCGTTTATCGTACAACGTCTGAAAAAGTTTCGTTTTCTGAAAATGGGCAAATGGAATCGAACCGTTCCAGTGCACCAAAATTGATGATGGTTCCATTTTTAATGCAGATAACGAATCTGTAAATACCTCAATAGGCTATACTTAATTTTTAAGCTGACTAATTGTTAGTTGTTTTTCAGGAGGCAGACACCTTTTCTGAATATATCGACATATTTTTTGATATTTTCATTTGCTTGACTTAACTTAACTTAATAACAAAAGTATCCGTAGAACAAACATGCTCCATCATTTACATGTATTAGTTTTTTTGACGTAGAATTACGTCTTTCGGCAACATATTAGCGGACGAATTTCAATTCTAAACAAGCCAATCGATTGGAAATTTTTCTACGAATCTGCTAAAATGAACGCTATAAATTTTCTGTTGCCATGGTGACCAAAATTTTCACCGGTTGCCTGCAAAAAGCGCTTTCCCTAACACAGATTTCAAAATTGGATTCCATCCAGTCTCGCCAAACGGTGCTAATTCAATCACCGTGTGTGATGGTGTTCGGTCGGTCGTCATTAACAGCTGCAACGAAAGGCTGCTCGCAAGCAGCGAGCTGCAGTCCATCATTCATCGAAGAAGGAGGAAGAAGCCGCCGCTACTGATCGAATTCAGTAGCTCTGCGCGAGTAGCTGTAGGCCATCTATGCCAAGCACGTTACCCTCGTTCCAAACAACATACAGCTCGCCAGCTTCATCCGTGTTGAACTCCCTAATAGCTCAGCATTACTGAGCCATCACGTCTTGGATAAATCCTCCGTGATTGATCAGAACTAATGCACCTGCACAGAGAACCACATAGATGGTTTTCATGATTAGCTTTCATGCTTCTTCAATGTACAAGCCTACTATTTTAATCTATTTATAGATCAATCACAGCGCCGGCCACGTCCTCACGGTCTTTTTGGGGATGGAAGGATGATTAGTTTGATGTCCGTTGTTACTAGATACCGAATACACCACTCCTCTGCATCTCCACGGCTTTCACGGGAGGGATATAGTTGTGTTAGTGAGGTGGGTTTAGATGTGAGGTGTTTAGATTAGGATTCACTGTGGTAATTGATGCGATCGGTTAAAGCGGAATTTGTTTTAATTAAAATCTAGTGGGGATCGAATAAGGCAGAGCGAAAAATTGCAAAGAGCGGGTGGGCCTGGGATTGAACTCCCGACCTTCTGCTCAGTAAGCAGAAACGGTAACCACTGAGCTATCAAGCCTCGTCAAATGTTAAAAATTATCACGGAATTCTCCGTAAACTTACCAGCAATTTCCCTACTCGTAGTTCCTTGGAATTCCCTTGAAACTCTCCTAAGCATTTCATTGGAATCTTTATTAAAATTCCAAATTTTTCTTTATTGAAAGCTCTCATCAGAAATCTTCCGGAATTCGCTTGGAATTAACTTCTGAATTTTTTCGAGTTTTCCTTAAGGATATATTTTAAATTCTTTTCAATTTTACTTCAAATTCAGTTTTCAATTACATTTAGTACCAGGGCTAAAAAATGCAATTTTCAATGACAGATCTCACGCGATATTTTCAGATGATGTTTAAAAATGCGGTATGTTTTTCAAAATTAAAGAACCCAATTGCCAGTTATTTTGATGAACCAAATAAAAGCAATCCTAACCAATTTATGCTCGTACAAATTTTGCAAATTCCTTCCCGCATAAAATGATATTCCCACGCCAACAATCAACATAAACAACCCAATCGACGCACCCCTCGGTTACACACTCACACAAACACCCACCGCAAATGCAAATGATTATCAATTGCTGTGCAGTGTCATTATGCGCAACTCAGCGTTGATGGCAGCTTATCTCGTCCTGAAGCATTCCGCCGACCAGCTACTGCGATCGCACAGTGAGTGCCCACACGAGAATGGTGAAATGCCTCCTCTGGGCCCTGGCTCAAAGGAAGAGAGTAAAGCGAAAATGCGCCGTCTTTTGCTCGATATAATTTACGATACCTATACTCGACATAAGGCCCAAAAGAAGGCTCTTCTATAAACATCTGGCCGGCCACCGCGCCGTTTGTTGCGTCCGTTCGAATGAATGAGAACGAAGGGGAAAACTCGGAAAACTAGAGCACTTGTTAAGTTGTTGTTGAGCACACACCGGTTGCTGAGGTGAGGTGGGTGACGAGAGGAAGAAGGTGCGTGTGAGTTTACAGTCCAGTGACTTTCTTTCGAATCAACGCACGCTGCTGTGTAATTCTAGCAACTGCTGTGTAATTCTAGCAACGTTGAGTAACGAAACCCTGCCCCAGTACGTAGTAGGCTGCGATGTGAGTGTGCGAGTGTTGCCGGCTAGACGAGTTTTTCTGCAAGTGCTGCGAGTATGTCAAAGCGTGTAGATTAACACTAATTATGATGACTTGAATGATCTGAGTGGGCAGGCAACATTGTCGCGGTCTCAAGAAGTTTTATCGCTATTGGTAGCCAGTCAAGCAGTCAATGGTCATTCATAAACGGGTAAAGAAAAAGAAAACGCCACCGCTTGCCATCTGGGCTTCCTTTCTCAGGATCAGGAAAACAAAAAATTCAAACCTTTGCTATTTCACGCCGAAATCTAGTATGCCAGGGTTGAAAAAACATCGCGCGCGCGCGAGTGCTCAATCAAGCCGATCTCAGTGTGCCTTGATTTATTTCTACTTTTTCTTTTTCGTCTCCGCCGGCACCCGAGAGCGAGTAAGACAAAGAGATTTGCTGGCGCCCCTCTCGCCCGAATCGTTAATAATCCGGCGGTGCGCCGCCTGATTGGTCGAAAATCTAAAATCGAATCATCAAATCGCACCTTCAATGGCTCGCGAGCAAGCGAGCGAGCAAGTGAGTGAGCGGCGAATGTACAACACACACACGATCTGAGTATGCGCGAGAGATCTCGAACCGTCCCTTTCTAATGTTTCTCGCACGCGCGTTTCTCCCTCTTCAAATGTATGGGAAAATATACTCACGAACCGACCGACCGACCGAGGAGAGATTAGAAGGCTCATACACCACGCCTACTTTGGTCTCCCCCCGAATTTCCGTCCGACCGACGATGGTGATGCTGTGCCGAGGGAGATGAATCCTCTGCCAGTGCCACGCATTTCTCCATTTCAGCCCCCGAAATTTTCTCGATGCGCGAATCCCCGGAAGCCTCCTTTGATCGAACCGTGTACCTAACCGTACATAAAATGTATGCTATAAAAAGATCAAAAATCGTGTATGCCTTGATGGTTCCTTTGTTGCGGCCAGCGTGCTTTGTTGATGCCGCCGACCAACCCACCCTCTATGGTAGGTATCGTTTAAAGTTTTGCTCCGATTTCCCGCATCCATTCATTCATTCATTCATCCGTTCGTGTCCGGTACGAGACGACCCCAATGACGGCAACGACAACCGGCCGGTCGGCCGGGCAAGGTCCATTATTTTACGATGTTTATCCAAGAAGTGGTGGTAGATAGTCTTAGAGGAAGAATGACTTTTCGATCCTAAAACAAACCGAAATCAAAGCGCGGCGTTTGGCGTTCTTTTGTATGCCGTCATGCTCCGGCCCGAGTCGTGTTTGACACAGATAAACAAACCAGGAAGAAATTGTCAAATATTGGTCCATCGCTTTTGGTGTCTTCCTGTTTGTAGGTTATGCGCTCTTTTCCCGCGTGGCTTTGTTGCTTGAGAGCGGGGAAGGGCCGAGAGTAAACAGTTATTTTATGAATGAATGGATCTTCAAGAGTGCCCCGTTGTACCTGTTGTGCTCAGAAAATGTCCGGGAAAACGTTCGATCTCTCTAGGGTTTCCATTTCATTCGGTCACCTCGCAATTTTGAACGAGTGTATGTCAAGATTTAAGGCCTCTGGGGAGTTAAAATTTTAACTTCGCGTAGGTTGTGAGTGAGCAAGCAAAGCTTGTACTGGAAACCCTAATCCTATGCTTTAGGAAAGCCTTTTTTATGCACACATCAATCTTGAGTGGAAAAGAAAAAAAAAACATCAAATATTAGTTCATCACTCACTCTTCCCATTTGACGTTTTCATTCATCGAAAGTAAACAATGAAAACATTTTATGAATGAACGAACTCTCAAGTAGGGCGCCTTGGAAAGAAGCAGCAATGGCAACAATTATGTGACATGACAGCTGCTGCATGCCTGCTACGATGATCCCGCCGTAGCACCTATGCTGCTCGTCACTTCCACATCTAGCCATAGACCTGTCTACGGTGGCAGCGCACACCAGCTTCGATTGACGTCATTCAAAATATGATAATTTAACATGTTATTGTTCTTCCCGTCCGTCCAAGCGATCATTAGCGTTTTCCTTTTCTTTCCGCTCGCTGGTACAACACACACGCTTTTTGCTACAACACACCTTAGTCCGTGTGTAGACAAGTGTGTGCATAAACATAAACACCAATCATCATCATCTTCGGCAGAGTCCGTGGCCAACGGCATAATTCTACGTGATGGAGCAGTCCCCCGTCGTGCAGCGGTGCAACGGCTCCTATGCTGTAAACAATCCCGAAGACAAAACGCGTGCACGCGCGCCTTCTTGGATCAGCAGAAGAAGAATATGAAAATGAGTGATGCTCGCGCTCGTGCGACGAAGAAGTGTCGGATCGGAAACGGAAATAGATGCATTCCCTTCCCATTCTTTTAATGGCTTTAATTGAAACCGTCGTCGTATATGACTAGTACGTGGTCATATTTTCCTGCATTTCCTCTCACCACTGATCGCTGGTGCGCAGCACAAATAAACATAGATCATAACCTCAAAATATGTCTTAAACAAGCAATGTTTACACCCGTGCTGCAGTGCAGCACGACGGGCACGTGTCCGGAAGGAAGTCACGATGCCGAATGTTTAGAGATTCATACTCACTTTCTCCTTTCTCTCTCTCTCTTTTTTACAGGTTACACATCCCTCCACGATCGTAGTAATAGTTCCCCACCTCCGCTGATCCAATCCTCCAACCAATCCGGAAGCGGAGCGGGAGGCGGGGGAGGAGGAGGCGGAGGCGGAGGAGGCTCCGGTGGCAGTAACAACAATAGTAGCAGCACAAACTCAACCTCCTCTAGTGGTAATAGTAGTAGCAATAGTAACAACAACAACAACAACAACAACAGCAGCAGTATGTCCTCCTATCTGTCATCGATGGCGGCGGCCGTGAGGAATGCCAACAGTAACAATAGTGGCAACAACAACAACAGCAGTAGTGCGAATAGTTCCAACTATCCTAGCAGCAATAGTGCGAATACCCCATCGACGGCGTCCTCCGGAAGCGGCGGAAGTCACCCGCAGATGAAGGAAGAGCACGAACCGAACAGTTTTATCAACATCGACGAGCTGCCGGTGAGTGCTTGATCTTAAATTTTAATCAACCAATGGTGCAGTCAGTCAGGCATGGCGCCGCCTTTGCCAAAAATATCGATTCTGGGAGCGAAAACAGAAAGAAACATTTGGTAGGGGTGTTGCGTAAGAAAATGACCCAGCACCTGTACAAATTTTTTTTTTCAAAAAAAGGTTCATATTTCGTTAAAACATTTTCCGGTTTTCTGCATAGAAAATAAATCGTGGTAGTTTTTTTTTACTAGCGACCAGGGATGCCAGATGGTTTTGCAAATTGTCTGTATGAATGCTAACTTCTCTGAGCCTATCTTGAACCTTTTAAAAAATTTCTGGACTTTCATAAATTGTCCTATAATATACCTCCATCTGATTCCCTTAATTTGTGTAATATTTCCTGAACTTCTTTTATTATTTTAAAGAATTTTTGAAGTTCGTCTTTAAAGTACTGTAGTTCCCTAAATTTCCTTAATTTGTTTAGATCTTAATGAAGATATCTAAACAAATTTCAAGATTTTCTAAACTTTTTTGAAATTTTCTAAACATCTTTGAAAAACCCTGAACTACTTGAACTTCTCTAATATTACCATAAGCATCCTTGAAGTTTCTTTGAACCTCTCCGAGTTGTTAAGCCTCTCTGAATCCTTCCCAAACTTGTCTAAGGTGTTCCCTGAGTATTCTTGATACTCTCTTCATTGCAATGAGTATTAGACTGATGCAAAATTGGACTTTTTCGCTCCACAGTGCTTAAATGGTTTCAAATCGGGTCCTGATTAGCCTCCAAAAGTTACAACTCATTTGGTTAGAAACAGACTTCGCACAAACCATTTGAAGTTTACATGTAAATTACTATGGGAAAACTCAACTTTTTGTTCATTGCCTTCTAGTCTTTTTCCATATTGAGCTGCGAAACAGTTCGATAGCAATTCTTACAGAAAATTTTCTCAGCTACAACTTTGCTCAAAATCGTTTCTATGTAAAACGAGACAGGAAAAGTTATTAATTATTTAAGAGATTGGTAAACTTATGACATGATCAAGCAGCTGCTCTGTAGGCAACACTGTATTTTGTAGTGTGACATAGTAGCCATGATTTTTGTGCCCTATTCAACGCCCCAGAAACACCAATGTTGCCTGCTGAGCAGTTGATTGAGCATGATCATAAGACATCAGCGCATTGAACCATTGATAACTTTCGATTCTTACATTTAATCAAAAAGTGGTCTTCAGCAAAGTTGTAGCTGGGAAAATTTCCTACAAGTACAGTTGAAAGTTTTTGAAGCAAAGCGATATGGTGAATTATTAGATAGACATGAACAAAAATCTTGGTTTTACCATAGTAATTCCCATACAAACTTCAAATGGTTTGTGCCATCTCAGTTTCTCACCAAATGGGTTCAAATTTGAGAGCTTAGTCAGGATCAGATTTGGAATCGTTTAAGTATTGTGGAGCGAAAATTTCAAATTTTGCATCACTCTAATGAGTATGCGTTCGAATTTCTCTGAATATCTCGTAAGTCCATTGATCGTACTTGAAATTTAAGAAGTTTCTCCATTATTTGGCAGACTTATGTAGAGTTCACTAAACTCATCTAAGAGATGAACTAGCCTCAGGCTAAAAATCTCTAAAATAAAGATTTAAAAAAAAAAAAAAAAAACTAAACTCATCTGAAATTCACCCAAATATCTTAAAGGTGACCACTGAGTATTTTTAGATTTCCTAAACTAATAAGCCTCCCTTAGCTCAGTCGGTAAAGGCGCAGCTACAAATCAAAACCATGCTGGAGGTGGCTGGGTTCGATTCCCGGGTCCGTTTTAGGAATTTTACACAATTGGAAAATTCCTCGACCTTCCCTGAGCATGGAGTATGATTGTACTTGTCATACAATTATACTTGGAGTGGCCAGAGCCCGAAAAAAACACGGAAAACCCGGGAAATTACGTTCGGAAAAAAACGAGTGAAAAGACGCGATGACATGATTTGCAGCGAAAGGAAAAGATAGTCATCTATCAAAGACTGACAATTAGAGGTATATTGGATGCTGCATGAGAACAACTGTTCACATCTCAGTTGGTAGGGTAACGTCCACAGATGTCGCGCGAACATAATCCGCCCACCAAATTCCTCACAGGAATTTATGATTGAAGTCTTCTTGGAGCATACTCATCCGCATCCAATGGTATAGTTCGTACCTTCCTAACATCACGCCGAGTAGTACCAGTTGCTGTTCTTACTGATACCACTCTCGTTAATCCATCTGGTCCTGGGAAGGTTTCGACGATTCTGCCAGTAGGCCATTGTCTTGGCTTCGAATTGTCGTCCACTAGCAAAACGAAGTCGCCGACCGAAATATTGTGCGATGATCGTTGCCACTTCGTCATCCGCTGCAAAGATCGTACGTATTCTGTCTGCCATCTGCTGCGAAATTCTTGCGAGAGGCGCTGGACAAACTGCCAGCGTGACATCGAGGAAATTTGCCGTTCCAGCAAGTTGACTTCGGGAACGGTGGTGAGCGCCCGACCGATGAGAAGATGAGCAGGAGTGAGAGCTTGATCATCCATCGGACTATTGGAGATCGGCGTGAGTGGCCTCGAGTTCATGGTGGCAGCAACTTGAGCGATCAGCGTGGAAAGTTCTTCGAAGGTAAAGATGTAGCTGCTGATGATCTTCGAAAGATGTTGCTTAGCAACCTTGATTGCTGACTCCCATAATCCTCCATGGTGCGGAGACCGAGCTGGGATGAAGTTCCATTCCACTCCCTTATCGGTCAGAAAATCGGCCACTTCATTGTTGTGTGCAGAAGAGTTGATTTGCGCATACGTTTTTCGAAAGTGCTTAGCTGTGGCTCGGAAATTTGTTGCGTTGTCCGAGAACATTTTTGCTGGCAAACCGTAGCGGCTGGAGAATCGAGTGAATGCTGCCAGGAACGCGACAGTAGTAAGCTCCGACACAGCTTCCATGTGTACGGCCTTTGTTGTGAAACAAACGAAGAGAGCAATGTACCCTTTGCTTTGCTTCGCACCTCTGGTCCTTCGTCCAACAATGCTGACTGGACCAGCATAGTCCACGCCAGTGACCGCAAATGGTGGATTTGGTTGAACTCGATCCGATGGCAGTTGACCCATTTGTTGATACTTAGGTGTGGACTTGGCACGTGCACACGTCACACACTGGCGATAAACCTTCCTTGCTGCACTTGAACCACTTATGATCCAAAATCGTCTGCGGGATACGGCTAACAGTGTTTGGGGCCCGCAGTGGTGATGGACGATGTGGTCGTGGTTTAACAGAAACGAGGTGAGAATAGAGTGGCGAGGTATCAATATAGGATGTCGAACGTCGTAGCTGAGGCTTGACTATTGTAACCTTCCGCCCACCCTGAGCACACCCTCTTCGTCCAGGAACGGTTTGAGTTGGTGCAAACTGCTGTGAGAGCTAACTTCTACTTGCTGTCGAAGTCGATCCAGCTCTTCACGAAAGTATTGTTGCTGAACGTGGCGAATGTATATTGTTTGTGCTCGATCAAGCTCGCGTGGTAACAGACGAGCAATCAATCGAGAGTCAGGAGATCGAAACCGAAGAATACGAGCAGTGACGCGAAGCAGCATCGTGAGATCGGGATAATATCGTGCCATCATCCCATCGAGAAAGTCGTTTTCGTAGACGGTGATAAGAGAAACGGCTACTGCTCTTTGCTCCCTAACAATATGCTGTTGGTCAGTGTTGGTCAGTACAGGGATGTCGGTTAATTCACCTCGCTCACCTATTGTGTTCCATGCGGGACCATTCCACCACAGAGTGTTATGTTGGATTTGTTCTGGCGACACCACGCGCGAAATAAGATCAGCAGGGTTTTGTTCCGATACGATGTGGCTCCAATTGATTGCTGGTACGTGCGTTGTGATTTCTGCGACGCGATTGGCAACAAAGGTTTTCCAGCGAGAAGCACCTCCGTTCAACCAAGCAAGCACAACACTTGAATCTACCCAAGCTCGTATCTCGAAGAAGGGTTGATTTATGGCACTTGTTACGTTGTTGATCAGCCGTGCGAGGATCACTGCAGCACATAACTCCAAACGTGGCAGCGTCGTGCGTTTATTTCCAATTGGCGCAACCTTGGACTTCGCGCAGAGAAGATGGGAACTGTGATTCCCAGCGTCGTCGACCGCTCGGATGTATATGCAGGCACCCATGGCTCGCTCGGATGCATCACTGTAGCCGTGCAGGAAGATTCGCGACGTCTTGTTAGTGCCGATAACTCGTCTCGGAATCTGAAAAGAGTTGAGAAGGGCCAGACCTTGCACGAAAACTTGCCATATATTAGTCAACTCACTGGGGGGAATAGCATCCCAGTCCACCTTCAGCTCCCACAAATGTTGCATCAGTAGCTTCGCTTTGATGATAATAGGTGCGAGCAGACCAAGTGGGTCGAAAAGACTAGCGATGTTGGAGAGAATGATGCGCTTTGTGGGATGAAGGATCTTGGTTGGTTGGACGCTAAACAGGAATTCGTCGCTGCACGGCTGCCAGTGGATCCCGAGGGCTTTGATGGTGTTGGGTTCATTGAGCCCGATGGGAATTTTCATTTCGAGGTCCGCTTCAGGAACACCTTCCAGGGCTTCGGGGCTATTAGAAGCCCACTTCCGCAGGTGGAATCCTCCGGCAGAGAAGATGATGGAAAGTTCTTGTCGAAGATGCTTGGCTTCATCAGCAGAATCAGCACCCGTCAGCACGTCGTCGACGTAAATCCCCTTAATAGCTTTCTTGACTGCATCTGGAAATTGCCTTTGATGGGAGAGCAGCAGCTGCTGCACACATTTTGTCGCCAGATACGAAGCGCTCTTGGTACCGTAAGTAACGGTATTCAGGCAATATTCCAGGATCGGTTCGTCCTCTGACCAGCGCCACAAGATTCGGATGTATCTTCCTCGTACAGCAGCACCATTCGATACATCTGCTTGACATCACCAGCGAGTACCACTGGGGGAAACCGGAATCGAAGTAAGATATTGACCAAAGAATCCTGCAATACAGGGCCCGCTGGAAGGATGTCGTTGAGAGACTTGCCGCCACTGGTTCTGCTGAAGCGTCGAAAACCACTCTGCACTTCGTCGTCGAGCTATCTTCCTTTACGACGCAATGGTGTGGGAGGAAAACACAATTCTCCGAAGCTGGTGTAGTGGCAAGACTCATATGCCCGAGGTCGATGTACTCTCGCATAAAGGAATGGTACTGTTCTTTTAAATTAGGACTCCTTTCCAATTTGCGCTCTAGATGCAGCAGTCTCTTCTCAGCAATTTCCCTCGATTTTCCGAGAGAAGTAGGGCTCTCCAAGTACGGGAGCCGAACGATAAATTTTCCGGAACTATCGCGAATCGTGTGCTTTGTGAAATGCTCTTCGCATCGAATCTCTTCTTCGTTGAAGTGTGGAGATGTATTCGTGTACTCCTCCAGTTCCCAGAATTTGCGAAGTTGATCAGAGAGAGGATCAGTGGAAGCCGTCAGTAAGCACGAAGGAGCATTAGTGCGTGGTTGATTGTCACAGTTTTTGTAGCCACCAGAAACCACCCAACCTAGCTTCGTGTTCTGTAGTACAGGAAGGCAGTCGTCCGAACCAAGTTTGATGTTTCCCGGCTCGAGAAGCTGGAAGAAAAGCTTGTTGCCGAGAAGGATGCTGATTTTTCCTGGATGGTGAAATTGGGGATCAGCCAACGGAATCGATCCAGGAATTGGCCAATCTGCGATATTGATCGGTTTTAGTGGGAGCTCGGAAGTAAGTCGCTCCAGAATAATGCACGGCACTACATTTCGATAGTCCGAGCAACGTGACGCGAATGTAACTAGTGCTCCACGATTTGCGTGACCGTGAGATTCTGCAATTCCACCATATTCAAAATCCACTTCCGTGGTTGAGAGACCCAACTTCTTGCACAAATCCGCAGTAATGTAGCTTGTGTGGGATGCGCAATCAAGAACTGCTCGGCAGGTATGCGAGCGCCCGAACTTATCGATGACGTTGATAGTAGCGGTTAAGAGTAGAACGTTGGTGTCCGTCAAATCGGTAGCCAGGCTTAGGGGCGAAATGAGCATTTGCGACATTGAAGACGAACCAGATGAATTGGTTGTGGTCGCTGTACTGCTCACTAGCGTTGAAGATGCTGGCGGTTGGAGTGCCTCGTGGAGACGAGTATGATGTGGATGATTACATATCCGACAATTGCCGGACTGGCAAGGTTCACCGGAATGCTGCTTTAGGCAGTTCTCACAGAGTTCATGCCTACGGATAAAACGGAGTCGATCATCGGAACTGACGTGTAGAAACTTACCACACTGATACAGTTGATGCGGTGATTTTGCACAAAAAACGCACATTGGTGACGGAGAATGATACCCGGTGGTGACGAGAGCTGTTGGTCCCCGGGTAGGAGGTTTGCTTGGAAGTGGTGTGATGAACGATTTCTTCTGGCGGATCGGTTGAACGGATTTCAGTGCACAGCTTTGCGCATCAACAAACTTCAGGAACTTCTCCAAGGTAACTTCATCGTCGTTTAGCTCCGACCTTTTCTGACACCACAACTGCTTGCTTTCAGGATCTAGTTTCTCTGCTAAGATGTACAGCAACCATATGTCCCTTCCTTCCTGATTCATGGCCTCCAATGCTCGTATCACTTCATCGGACAGATCATGCAGGGAGCGCAAACCAGCTGCGGACGGTGACGTCATTGAAGGTTGATTTAAGAAGCGATGAATGTGCTGTGCTGTGATTTCGAGTGATTTGTTGTATCTAGCCTTCAGCTTAGCTAGAGCGGGAGCGTAGTTAGCGTCTTCTATGCGAAGGTGCGATATCAGAGCGGCGGCTTCTCCGACGAGATTGGTCTTGAGGAAGTAGAGCTTCTGACTATCTTGTAGCGCCACGTTCTTGTGTACCGCACTGTCGAACAGGTCGAAAAACGAAGGCCATTCGAGGAGGTCACCTCCGAACGTAGGGAGATTCATGCGAGGGAGCTTGACATCAATGTGTGGAGAAGCATTATGGGCGACAACCGTTGAACTGCTGCTTGCGTTGGCCGCCGTGTTGAAGCTGGTAGAAATCAGTCGAATGAATTCTGCCTGTTGCTGTGCCAGTTGTTGAATGGCAGCGCCGCCATCTTGTGATGCTGCCTCGTGGCGGGTAGAAGAAAAATCGAACCTTTTCCGAAGTTTTAATAGGCTACCTTTCAGCGGAACGAAATTACCCTCGAATTCAGCCTGATGACTCACGATTTCATCCATCTCCTCATCCTTGCAGCTGTCTACCATTCGCTTATGGACCGAAAGATAGGCCGACCAAATTTCTAGGAGGTTATCCAGCTCGGTCTGGATGTCGACGTCATCTATGTCATCCCTCTTCTGGAGCTTGTGAACATTTTGCGATGCTCGGTTTAATCGCGCTTCTAGCGATTTCCTCTCGCGAATAAGTTTGTCCATGGTGAGTTCACTAAATGTTCGTTAAACTTCAATTTCACCCACTTTCACCGAGAATGTTCTTTTCGGAGGTGATATTCCAACCTCACTCTAGCACTCACTTTCGCGAATCGTGACACGGTGACGAAAGCGGATAAAAACGCACCTTTTGTTCACCTTCGGTCCGATCCGGCTCGAAGGACCATTTTCTGGAGTGGCCAGAGCCCGAAAAAAACACGGAAAACCCGGGAAATTACGTTCGGAAAAAAACGAGTGAAAAGACGCGTGTAGATTAGTTCAGCGATACAGTTCAATTAATTTTTATTGATTCAATGCATTTTCATTTTGTGTTGGGGGAAAAGAGATGACATGATTTGCAGCGAAAGGAAAAGATAGTCATCTATCAAAGACTGACAATTAGAGGTATATTGGATGCTGCATGAGAACAACTGTTCACATCTCAGTTGGTAGGGTAACGTCCACAGATGTCGCGCGAACAATACTAATACAAAAATGGTAAGGTATCGAAACCTCTCAAATAATAACTATGCTTGATTTCCCTAAACTTCTATGAAGCTCTCTGAACTGTTATGAAATTCGCTGAACTTCTCAGAGAGATTCAGGAATCTAATGAAATGAAGAAGCTGCTAAACTTGAAGAACTTCTGATTGGTTTAGTGAACTTCAGAGAGGTTCATAGATCTTCGGAGTTTATTCAGGGAACTGATAAGGTCGTGGAAGTTCTGAGAGGTCTTTGCGGTTTCAGAGTTATGAAGGGTTACAAATACTCAAATTTGTTCTGTGAGCTACAGAATATTGCTTCTGTGCTCTCATTCTAAAAAACGGGCGTCCATAAAACAAAATGAAAGCCGTATATCAGCCTTATATTGCAAAAAGGGCCCTCATCGGGTTATTAACGGACTTGGTGGTTACTTGGGAATCATGTTATCTTCGTAAATAAGATCGATAAATTTATGTGTAGATCATAAGATTCCTCTACATATTGCATGGATGAAGAAGAAGCTATGACTCATGAGAAATTGATGACAGGATATATTTTTTTACAAAAGCACTTAGGTATGTCTATTTGAAAATGTGTAGTTGAAATGATTGCAATGAAGTCTTCAAATGATTAAAACTGAAACTTTGTTGTGTTATTGGAACTAAGCCGTACCAAATTCACATCAGACCCTAAATCTGAAATTCAAATTCGAGTTAAATCTGCTAAGTCTCACTCGGGACATCCGAGTAGTCGGAACAGCCCTGAATTTTTGGCAAATATTTGCAAGTAAATTCTGTACTGAAATCCTTTATTGATGTTGATGGATATTAATGCCTGTATAAATCTGTAACTTTTTACCAATGTCTGTATAATATATGTCCTCTGTATGAAATCTGTATGCATCATCAAATGTCTGTATAAATACAGACATGTCTGTATATCTGGCACCCCTGCTAGCGACATCTGTCGCAAAAATCAACCATGCTTTTAATCCATTACATTGACTAACCATGCTTTCTTCTTACCGCCCCTCGCAGAACTTCGGCGTCGTCCCGGGTCACTACGACGATCAGGACCAGTACCACTCGCTACCGCAGCCGGAAACCCAAACGCCCTCCCACGGCTATCTGGAGAACAGTCCGGAGTTCTATTCCGCCATCCAGATGGAGCAGAAGTACATGGCCCCGCACTACAAAACCGGCCCGTATACGAGTCGAGGTGGCCGGTACCACCAGCCACATGCTCACGGTGGCGGTGGAGGTGGAGCTGGGCCTGGCGCTGGCGCCGGATCCCAAAACAGCCACCACCATCATCACCACCAGCACCACCACCCGCACCACGACGCATACCCGGAGTACAGTTCGCCCTACGACACGCCACCGTTCCAGACCGTACCGAGCAATACGACCTCCCCACAGGGATCGGGAAACAACAACAACGACAGCACCGGTCTCGGAGGTCACATGGACCCCTGGAGCCAGCTGCACCACCCCGGTCAACATCCGGGTCACCCGGGAGGACATTCGTCGCTGTTGGACTTCCAACATCCGGCCTACATGGGAACCACGATGGGCTTCGATAAGACGATGCTCGGAAGCTACGGAGCGCAAGGTGGCGCGCCATGTTTCACCGGTTCCGGACCCATTCAGCTGTGGCAGTTCCTGCTGGAACTCCTAACCGACAAGACCTGCCAGAACTTCATCTCCTGGACCGGCGATGAGTGGGAGTTCAAGCTGACCGATCCGGATGAGGTAAGTTACTCAAACCGTTTCCTTACTCATAAAAACGGAACCTCTAACCAATGTTGTTCGCATCAACAGGTGGCACGCCGGTGGGGCGTCCGGAAAAACAAGCCAAAAATGAACTACGAGAAGCTAAGCCGAGGCCTCCGGTACTACTACGATAAGAATATTATCCACAAAACTGCCGGCAAGCGTTACGTCTATCGTTTTGTATGTGATCTTCAAACTCTGTTAGGGTAAGTTAGTTCATGTTTCACCTCAAGCTCAGTTTAACCATTTTCCTTCTCTCGATCAACAGATACTCAGCCAAACAAGTGCACGAAATGGTTGACCTCAAACCGGACAAAAAGGACGACGAGTAAAATGCCAAAATGCACACTCTACCCTCCCGTCAAAAAGTGTAGCCCAAAGCATGCTTCTTGCTCAAAGAAAACCTAACCAATAAGCGGGAGCGAAACCCAAAACCTCCTTATACTTACAAAATTTCACCCTTTTCGTGTGAATCGTGCTTCCATCGAACGGCTAAAGAAACGAAAACCCAATCGTGTTACCCACATTCTACCTTAAATCTGTGTTTCTTCCCAAAAAAAAAATACAAAACAAAGATCGTACTTTTACAATCTACCAAAAAAGGAAAACAAAAAAACGATAAAATCCAAAATCATAGTAGGCAGAGAGTGCAGCAGCAGCAGCAGCAGTGGATGAAGCTCAGTGTGCCTTACGACGCGACAAGCTGACAGTTCATTTCAAAACAACAATCGAGTCAACCTCTCTCTCTCTCACTCTATCACTTTAACACAAGCCAAGCACATCATCCAAGTAGGCTGATGTAAAGAAAAAAAAACAGTGACCCGCAGATTTCCCCCAAACAAACAAGTTAAGAACTACGCAAGATCAAGATCCGCTCCCGGATGCATCCGGTTGATTCCGGTTGCGGAAAAGGTAAGCGAAACTTAAATCTACTTAAAAATACAAAACAAAAACAAATGTTGAGAACTGCGGTGCGGAAAGCGAAAAGCTTTTTCCCAGGCAAAATGCGAATAGTGGACAAACAAAAAAAAAAAGAGGTAGAACTCCACAGAACGGAAGAAAGCAAGAAACAAACTTTATTTTATTTTTCCTTAGTTAAAATAATTATTTGTGAAGCTTTTGTGATAAGTTTTTTTTTTCTTTATTTCTATTTTTACTAGATATAATTGCTTATATATATGTATGTATGATTATTACTAGATGGTAGGCCACACAAACATGAGATAGAAAATGAGAAATTCGGATTAAGAAGACGTTCCACCCGCCTTCTTTTCAGCCGAGAAAAAGAAGCGAAAGGCATCAGAACACGATCCTAGTAAACAATGAAAAAAAAAATGAGCAGTATAAACAAATCAAGTGAATGTTCTTTGTAGTGTAATATTATTCAATGATAGAAAGCTAGACCGATCGAGACGAGTGAGCGAAGCATTTTTTTTTTCGAATGAGCGTTGTTAGGATTGAGTGAGTTCGCTCGCCCCCTCCCCTCGCTAGGATATTTTTTTTCATTTTTTTTATACAAATCAGCAGTGGAGGGTGGAAGCAGCTGATCTCTACTGCGAGTAAACACACACACACAAAAAATCAGAGTACTATTCTAGAGCTTAATTTGCAGTTCGTGTTTATATTTAGTTTTATAGAAATCGTCATCGCCGTCTGTGCTAGAGGAGCGTTTGAGAACGAGAGAACGTGGTACACGTGAATCAATCACGTTTGAGTGAGAACGGTGTAGTTAAAATGTAAGTGATTATAAAATAGAAGCAGAAATATTATTGTAAACAGAAAAAAAAGTATCAACAACAACAACAGCAACAAATGTCGATCAGAATAAAAGTAAAACAGTAGAATTGTAAATCAAAGATGGATTCCCTGGAAATGGCGGGGTTGCCAACGCGAAGCGTCGAAGGCACTGCCGCAAGTCACACATTTTCCCGTTGATTCATATTGGTGCGATATTTTTTTTTTACATAAAGGAAAAACGACGGATTTCATCAAAGTATTTATATCGATCGAAGTAGGATTTTAGATTCACGTTTATTTTAGTTGTGCCTGTCTTGTGTGACACGCTGGAAGTTGCGGATTACCGCCTTCGTGGCAAATTGCGATCGAACTCGGTGAGGCGTTGTGGAAGGGAATCCATTTTGTTTTATGATGTTTAAAAAAAATCTAACTTAGAGGACTCAGGTTCAATCATCCGAAAATGGCCTTTGTTTGCGGTTTTAATTCCTGATTTTGTGAGTGCAATGAGAAGAGGAAATTTGGGTTCTGGACCTTGATGTTGATGTCTGTGCTAGGAAAATACGCTTCTAATTTTTGGGTTCACCTATGTCAAGGTGAGTCGTTTTTTTTTCCTTGATTTGTTTTCCGTGCTGAGCACCAATGCTATCGACGCCAAGGAGGCAGCTCCCACACCTGGACCCTACCTATCAACCCATCAACTCATAAACCGGGGACCAAACGGCTTTACTTCCTTTCCTAAGGTTTCGCTTATGCAGACGACGTAATTCTCTTGGCAATTGTCGGAACCCTCAAAGCCCTACATAGGAAACTTCAGGCAGCTGTATCGGCCACACAAAGATGGGCGTCCCAGGTGGGATTCGTGCTCTCACATCTGCCAATCCTCACACCGTCCATTACAATCAGCCATTAAGTGTGATGGTACCACAATACCTTTCCAGAAGACGGTCACAATACTTGGGCTGCTCTTGGACCGGACGTTAAGCTTCGCTCCTCATTTTAACAATGTACGGAACAGCTGCCGCACAAGACTTAGCTTGTTGCGGACACTTTCAAACCCTCATCGTAGTAACAACGGGAACATTATGCTTAGGGTAGCAAAAGCCATCGTCAACAGTAAGATCTTCCACGGAATTGAGGCTTTCTGTACGGCTAGTGACCTCTTCATTGTGCGGCTAGGTCCCACATATAATCAAGCCATCCGTATTGCAGCTCGGTAGGAGCCCTGCGGACTCAGATGTGTTGAATTCGGTATCCTGCCTTTCCAGTACCAAGTTGCCGAGACCCTGGTAAGCAGAACAATAAGCTAATTGGAGAAGACTGCCGGAAACGAAGAAGTCTGTCTCCTCAGAGAGGGGAACAGAGCTCTAAAAAACCTGGCCCATCAGGAGCTCCCCCCAGTGTCGAGGCTACATTAGACCGGAACCAGAGGATGAGCAGAACCAAACCTTCACGTTGACCTCCCGGTTGCTAGACGACTCCAGGCTGGTAACAACTCGCGAGAAATGCACGCATACGTGACTGAACTGCTTCGTAGGAAATACTCCGAGCGGATGGCTCTAAGACCTTGGGAGGAGTCGGCCTTGGAATTGCAGATCCCGCTGACTCCTGGACCAGTGCTCTGTGTTCTCTGCGGAAAGTGCGGCAATCTTCCACGCCAGTAAACCGCTCTGTATCCTTTCGGACTCTGCAAGTGTTGGAATCCCAGACATCCATGGATCCAAGGGATCCAACTGGAAGCTCCATCAAACACTACCTTCCTATGGATCCCCGGGCATTGCAACATCCGGGGGAATTGTGTAGCAGACCATCTTGCGGCTACGGGCCGATCTGGAAGACTCGCTACTAAAACCGCTCCAGGACCTGATATCAAGACTTGGATGAAGTTCAAACTTCGGGATGCTTGGGCCCAGGAGTGGGCCAGCAAACGGGAACCGTTCGTCCGTAAAATCTAAGGAGAAACCACCAAGTGGCAAGATTCCCCAAACCGTCTTGAACAACTGATTCTTTCTCGTCTCCGCTCAGGACATACTCGGACGACCCACAATATGGGAAGTGCGACTTCGTTCCGAAAACACTGTGATATTTGCAACACAACGATGACGGTACAGCACCTCTTAGTGAATTGCCCAGGTTTCCAGGGATCTAGGGATCTTTATGGGATCCCGACGAACATAAGAAACACTTTGGCCAGTGATCCTTCAACCGAAGCAACTGTTATATGTTTCATCAAGGACGCCAACATGTATAAGAACATCTGACCTAACTCACTGACAAGAACCAACCATAACCGACCCACTGCATCGAACCAGGACCAACCTCTATAACTGTTCCATCCAAGTAATCACGATGTTCCATTCAAGTAATCGCAGCAACCTACAGCTTCGACCGAGATGGAAAAATTAGTCATTCGAAGTGTAGATGTCAACCTGAATAAATTAACGGCGCCTGTGGTGTAGTGGTAAGCGTGATTACCTCTCACCCCAGCAGGCCTGGGTTCAATCCCAGTCGGCGCCGCCGGGACCTGAATAAACGTATAGTTAGAAGTACTCAAACTTTCTTTATTCTTTGAGAAGAACACTTCAGTTGGCGACGAGGATTTTTCTGGAAGCTCACAAGTTCAAGAAATTCCAGAATCGAACCGAGGAAAACTTTCTTTATTCTTTGAGAAGAACACTTCAGTTGTTCTTCTCAAAGAATAAAGAAAGTTTGAGTGCTTCTAGCTATATGTTTATTCAGGTTGACATCTACACTTCGAATGACTAATTTTTCCATCTCGGTTGCAGCTGTAGGTTGCTGCGATTACTTGAATGGAACATCGTGATTACTTGGATGGAACATCTCCCCTCATCCAGTACTCCTCGAATCTAGCTGGTAAACGAGTCTGCCGGCGTTCCCTTGTTGCTGGCGGAACTGGTACTCGATCTTGCTGTGGAGGATTATCTGCCTCACTATCATCCGAAAAATACTCCGCCTCATCACTTCCAAGCTCTTCATCAACTGGACCAAGTTCGTCGGGCACTGCAGCCGGTATCGTTGCTGGAACGGATGGTACGTCTAGGCCAAAACCGTCGAAGAATACCGATAACAGACTAGGACCTTGGCTTGGACTAGGATTTGGACCAGATTCGACCGCACGTTGCTTGGCATGAGAACGGATGAGCCGCTGATTATCCTCCAGGAAAACGTTGTAGTTGACTTTTCCGACACGCTCGATTACTTTGGCAGCCTGCCATTTCCAGGAATTTGCTTGATGGACTTGAGCTTATACAGCATCACCCGGAACGAACTGACTCGAAATCGCTCCATGCTTCTTGTTGAAACGCTGGTTTTGCTCATCTGCTTTCGGTTGTGTTGCGGTAGTAGCATTGACGAAACTGTGCGGACCGGTCGTTCGAACATTATTTCTGCAGGAGACTTTTCACCTAGGTCAGCCGTTGGTGTTGACCTGTAAACTTGCAAAAACGTCTGCAATGCTTCCTCCAGTGTGGACTCTGAATAAACCACCATAACAATGAGCCGACCAAATGCACCAAACCAGGAACATCTACTAACTACGACAGCACCTCGACAGCCAACTCTAATAAACAAATACTCTGTTACCAAGGAGGTCTCTTCTGGACTGTCCACTCCTCTTAATTAGTGGGTCCCCACCTCATTAACTCTATAACTAGGAGGTCCCTTCTGGCTCCCCACCGCTATTTCAAACTCTGTCACTAGGGGGAACCCCTTCTGGATTCCCCATTATTCGTCAAGATATGAACCAGCCTCTGGCTGAAGGTCTCGCTAATAAAGATAACCTAACCTAACCCTTCCTAAGGAAGGCGTGATCAAAGATGTTATGCCTCAGAACATCCCGGCGGCGCCGACTGGGATTGAACCCAGGCCACTACACCATCGGCGCCGCTGTGGTGACTCGTTTGCAAACGTCAAATTTTACAATTGAATTTGAATCATCAGGGATCCCACTTTAATCAACAATTTGCAAACATCCGTATTCGTTATTCGTAATCTAGAGCAGTCGTTGTTGAACGCTTGTTTTATGGCTATTCGAATAAATAAAACAGCCGTCAATAATTTCTTCACAGAATTCCCTTTATTCAATCACCATTTTGCTTCTTCTCATCGTACCCATATCCATACGGGCCAGGATATCCAGGTCCCGGATAACCTACCGGCCCATACGGATACCCTCCCGGATAGGTTTGAGGTCCTCCATAGCCGCCATAGACCGGATATCCTCCGATCATCCCATTCGGATAATAACCGGTGGGATAGTACGCTCCACTTGGATAGACGACCGGACCACCAGGCAGTCCCCCGGCATTTCCGAAAGTCGGAATCGGAAACGGTAGCGCTATCGGAGGGCTCGTACCGGCGGTGGATCCATCCGAACAACGATACATCCGCTTAAGCTTCTCGATGTCGCTAGGTGAGAAACCCTCTCGCTGACCCATTTTTGCACCATTGGTGGAACGCTGCAAGAAGTCGGAAGAACAATAAAACAGTGGGTTTAGCAACGGCAGTGAGTTTATTAATTTTGTTTTGTTCAGGTTCTTAATGGGCTAGGATGAAGTAAATGAGGCAACAGGTTCCATTTTGTTCACAACGGCTTTCGAGTGAATTCTTCGTGATGAGTGTTCTATTGTTCTGCGGCTACATTGGATGTGGCGTTGTTTTCGTTGTCACCGAAAGCAGCCCCAATAAGGTTTCCGATGAATCCAATAACTTGAGCTCCGGTTGGGCCGTTTCCAGGACGTTTGTTCGGTCTAGCCGGTCTGACCGGTCGCTGTGGCTTCGGTGCTACCGATATACTGGAGCTACTGCCACCTCCCTTACAGCCGTACATTCCGTTGAGCTTGTTTATGTCCCCCTTGGAGAACCCATTCCGCTGACCCATCTTGTTGCCACCGGATTTCTGTGAAGTGAATAGTGAACAGTGTAACATACACACAAATTGAGGTTATAGTACAACATTGACACAACGCCAGGGGCTACCCAAAACTCTTATTTGCAATCAATACCAAATGAAATTTATTCTACTACATGAAACTTAAAAAACACAATGTAA